AATCCTGCAAATAGAAATAGAATGATGGTGACAAAGATAGAATCAATAGTAATAGGTGCCTTGGGTGCAATCCTGAAACATCTGGAGCACCACTTGAACACTGTCGGCATTGACACAATCCCCATCAGTCAGTTGCAAAAGGCATTTTTACTAGGAACAGCTTACATCCCACAATGATACCTTTAACACTCAAACAACATCTGCCTGTCAGAGACCTTGGTGGATAAAAATGCCAAATCCAGTGTAAACACCTGGCTGACTGTGCAACCAACTCTGATACGAATACTTTATTGATTAACCATTAGGCAAATATACAAAATACAAATGAACAGTAATATGAGCGTATTTCTGTGTCACTGCTACAATTTATAACAATCAGATCCACACATTCTCAGTTATACTGTTTTGTTCAGATAAAGGGCCATATTATATGTAATTTTTGATCAACTGAAGAGGGAGGGGGCAATATTTTTTTTCTGATAAGATGGAAGCAATTTGTGCACGTTATGAGTTTTCCGATCATAGAATCTATATTTCATTTAATCAAATTTCAGCATTGCAAAATTTTGTTCCAGCTAAGAATTGAACTTGGTTCTTCAGTGATCGTAGCTCCTATGCTATGAATCAAAGGTTGGATGGGATTAAAAAAAAAAACACCTATATTTTGATTATTAAGTTAAATTAAAACTCAATCTAATGGGGGATCCCGTCTGGTCATGGATTTAATAATTTCCCCTCCCCCCATCGGTCACATTAAAAAAATGTGTCATGCCTAAAAACAACAATCCTTCAATTTGCAGTAATTTTTGGAACTGCATCCAACGATTTGAAAGCTGCCATTTTTTTTTTTTAACATTGCCGGGCCAATAATGATTTATGAGTTTTCAGGGTCTGTCTTCTTCGGTTTGACAGCTGCAATTACAATATTCTGGGTGTCTTTCTTAACATCTGACGGAAGTTTTTTCAGTGTGAAGAAAGAGGAAATAAGCGAAATTACTACTGACAAAATGCAGCCGATGATGGGGAAACGATTCCAATAAAAATATTCGGCAATCATCACTGAGGATCCCAGGAAGTCTGGTAGCCTCCATAAAACCATTTTCTTTTTGGACTGGGAGGTCATTATTGATTTCAGATGTCGGAGTACTACTTTGATTCGCTTGGCAAGTTTGGAGAGAGACGCGTCGTCCACGCCAAATTTATGGCAGCACCAGGAACCAAACATGATGAGAATCACAAGGCCCCCCAAGAATGCAATTCCTGGGACGGGGATCCCAGCTATAAACCCGGAGAAAATGGTGAGCACCCAGATCATTTTCTTCATTTTGCCTGCCTTCCCCTCCAAAATAGGAGAAATGACAGCAAGAATCTTCTTCCACAAGAACTCGCTCATCAAAGTTTCCCGCAGATGGGGGAAATCAAAGCGGTGGGGATCCCTGTTGGACACGGCAAAGACGTGAGGTTCTTTCACCCTTTTATTTTTCAAGGACTTCCTGAAGGTGAGCAAGAGGCTCTCTTCACCGTCCTGAGATGGTTGTCGCTTCTTAGCTTCCTCCAATTGCAGGTCTGCCTTGGTTTGAACCAGACAAAACTCTTTGTCCATTTTTTGGATCTTAAGCGCAAGCTGCAAAGAAGTGGCCTGGCAAATCTGAGGGTCTACTATGATGAAGTAATGGAAGTCCTTTAAGTCTACCTTCCGGCCATCAGCATCTTCCCCCTGAAGTAATTCTTTGTTCCAGGTGATCTCTGAAAACTTGACCGGGGCAAATTCTAGATTTGGGACATTTACTTTTGTAGCAAGCTCAGTTGCAGCTGCATCGGGCTCATCCAGATGTGGGTTCTGCAGGGTGTTAATGAGGGAGGACTTCCCAGAGTTTGGTTCTCCTACCACAGCAACGTTGAGAGGAAAATCTTCAAACAACTTGCTCGGTTCGTCCACAATGAGAGAGAGGGCCTCAGTAAGCTTCCCTTCAGAAATAGCTGCCTCAAATTGTTTCCTACATGAGGATCCGAATGTACCATAATCATGTCCAGAACTGCAAAAGGGGGAAAGTGAAAAGGTTGTAAACCTCAAACATTTCCATTGTTTGGAGCAGAACCATGTTCGGGGGACTCAGAAGAGTCAAGATGGCGGCCATGACCATTCCATCAAAAGCTTCCTCCCTTTTTATATATGCGTTGCCTGCGCTAAGCCTGTAAAAAAAAAGGGGGGGGGCTTTGATCACATGATAGTAGCCGCCATCTTGACTTTCTGAACCTCTCCCTGAGGATGAATGCTCTTGGCTTGGTGATGTTATAGGTCATGGTTGCCCAATCCTTTGGCTTGCCTGGGCCTTATTGAGTGAAGAATTGTCTTGAGCTGTATACAACACACGCACACACATAAAACATTTATATATATTATAAATAAGTATATAACACACACACACATATATTATAAAGATATGTGTGTGTACACACACACACAGAGATATGTATGTATGTATGTATGTATGTATGTATGTATGTATGTATGTACGTACGTACATACGGGAACTAAAATGTCTGATTCCCCCTCTCTCTCATCTCTCTCTCTCTCATCAAATTTGTCTACATCTACCTATTCATCTCTTTCTCCAATCTTCCTCCCCTTTCTCTTCCTATTATCTATCTATCTATCTATCTATCTATCTATCTATCTATCTATCTATCTATCTATCTATCTATCTATCTTTCCTTCTTTCCTTCTTTCCTTCTTTCCTTCTTTCCTTCTTTCCTTCCTTCCTTCCTTCCTTCCTTCCTTCTCTCT